AACCAGAGCACTGATTGGTTCGTCACATGGTGTAGATACATTATTGTTAAAACAATTCCATATTTATGTTCTACTTCGTCCGTCCAAAAATAGAAAGTGTAAACAATACCAATCTTTTGAAGAGGGTAAGCTAGATTGCCCACTTTTTGTTAAAAATTTTGGTAAAGTTGGCAAGAGGCGGTAGAGATGAAAAAAAAAAACCACTAGTTCCAAACCAAAGAAGTGTGTATACTTTTCTTGCAAAGTATGTCAGGAACTTGTTGACTGAGCAAAGGGCGAGTACTTAAAGAACGTTAAAGAGTGAGTGATAAACTTTAAGCTTGTTGGCAAATAGCATATGAGAACTACTTCTAAACGACAAGTGCTCTTCGTTACAACAGTGAGTGATAAACTCTGAACCTGTTAGCAGATAGCGTATAAGAACTACCTCTAAATAACAGATGCTGTAGGTTCTTGACTTATTACTTTTTCAACTAGTTATAATATATTTATTAAGAAAAGTTTTTGGAAAAAATTTGGAAAAAATGATCGTCAGAAAGAGTTAAATACTTTAGCTTCAGCTATTTCTATATTATTTTCCTCTAATAATACCAAAGCAATTCGATGGATTCAGTCTTGGTTTAGGTTGTATTGAGATTCAGCACTTTGAGTTAACTCAGTATAATATTAAATTCTGGTCTAAATTTTATAATTTGGATTATACTGAATATCTTGGCTAACCTTGTAAGTATACATGTGTTCTAATTCACAGAACCACAATTTTTCTTGTATACTTTCTAATTGATACATTCTGGATCTTAGTCTTTGGATTTCACAAACTTTACAACAGACAAGAGTTTCACATTCTAATCCATATTGGTAATATTCTTGGCTCCTTGGATTATTTATTTCAAGAGCTTCAAAATGGGTCTTGTAACAAGCAGTACAGATTAATTTATTTTCATAATCATGCAAATTATTAGATCATTCTGGGATCAAACATTTACAACAGTGGTGGGTATATCTTTTACTATAATAAGTTAATCTTCTTTTCTTAACTTGGTCTTTGTTACATTCACATCGATAAGTAGGTTATTTAATTTTCATTGGACAAGAGAGCAGTTAATTTCAATATGGCCTGTTTGTAAGGGCAATCTTTAAACAAATAGTTACTTTAGTTGCAATTCCTGCAGATGCTTCTTCTATTTTGTTTACTAGAGCAGTCTGCAAGAATATAGCCATTTTGATAACAATAATAACAAGTATTTTTAGAACAGTTTCTGGTAATATGGGTAGTAAAGTTACAGATTCTACAAAAAATAATTATTTTTATAGCAAGAAGTAAACATGGTCCAACTTCCTTCATCTTGTTCCTTAGTAGTAAAAGCATAGGCTTTATAAGAAGTCAAATATTCTTCCTTATACAGGTCAAATTCTTCAGGGTGGTACAAGTAAATTGTTTCTTGGTAGATTTAGTTTGTTTATAAAATGTATCCAATACAATCTTTTTACCTTTCTAGTAAATAGTATACTGACATGTTTTCCAATTATAATTGGCCTTAACTTTTTTAGACCAATTATTTCCAAATAATAGCGAATAGGAAGTAGCAAGTACTACTTCAATATCAAAAGGAATCTATTTTCCTTGTATGCGAATAGGTAAATTTCAAATAATTCCAAGAGGTCTAGACGTAGTTTCTGTAGTAGCAACAATAAGACTTGTAGATGGTTCTTCTATTTTAAATTCTAAATCTTTAACAGTTTGGTGTGAAATCATGCTAATAGCAGCTCTACTGTTAACAATAGCAAGTAAAGTTTGGTCCTAGATATCAATATAATATTTTATAGAGGAATATGAGAAATGCAAAGAAAAGAGGCAGGATATAGATGCAGAAGCTTAAAGGATAGTCACAGTTGGGTTTTTAAGATAAAGTGTATAAATGGGTTATTGCTAACAATAAAGGTGCTTCATAAAAGAAATCCAAACCTCTACTCATTTGATTTTTGCATTGCATATTTCCGGGAAAAAGAAGATCTAGATCACTTAGCCACATGCAAAATATATGAGAAATTGTAAAGCAGAATAGAGAGTGAAGCTTTCAAGGATGCTATAAAGAAAAAGTTAAAGAACGAACAGAAAGAAAGTGAACAAAAGATACGTAGTATTATAAAAGAAGAAATAATTGGAGATTCTCAAGAGGCTATTTACAAAAACAGAGTTAATTGTATTAGAGGAATCTTTTGGAAGCTTAGAAACGAGAACAGATTACTAAGAGAGCTACGAAGGATTTACAGCTACAAGTTATGAAAACACTTTCAAGAGGTGATCTGGTGACTAAGATGTGAAGCTATAAATGAATTCGAGCAGGGCAGAGGCATTACAAATACACAAAAAAGAAAGCGAGATGAGAGAAGTGATCTAATATACAAGAAAACCAAGAAAAGAAAAACCCAAGAAGCAAGATCTGAAAGAATTTCAGCAGAAGAAGCAGATTGGAAATTGTGGGAGAAGACAAAAAAAGAAGTTAGGAAGGTAATTACAACTAATGTCAAACCAAAGTGGTCGGGGCTATATAGACCACACTGTTACAAAACTTAAACACAGTCCTGACAAGGCTAGCAACTATCGTCCAAGGATCTGATGGGTAATCTTTCAGCAAGTTGAAAGCCAAAAGGGAGGAAAAGAGTTGCTGTGGCAGATCGCATTTGGGCATCTCTAAGCAGCTGGGTGAGCTTTTATTGAAGAGAAGGAAGGGTTTTTGGCTTTAGCAAGAAACTTATATATTTAGATTATGTATTTCTTATACATTAAAGGCAAGATTGCTAAAAAAAAATATAACATTTTATAGAAGTTATGTAGTTTGTTGATTTAGATAAGGTATTTTCTCGGTTTAAGTTAGTAATATGTGCGGTTAGAGTAGTTTGAATAGAGTAGTTGTCTAATAAGTCTTTCTATATTTGAGTAGTTTTAGATTTGGTTTTAGCTATGTTCATATTTTGATAATAAGGAGAAGGAGAACAGTTTGATCTTGGTCACCATTTTTCTTGACTTCTTTTTCTAGATCCACTCCTATTTCTTTGAGAATAGTAACTTCTATCTCTACTTTGACTTTGATTTTGACTTCTATTATTTCTATAACTTTGATTATCTCGTTTTCTATAATGTAAATATTGAAAATTTCAATTTTGATAATAATTTCTATTTCCTCTACTTTTTTAATCATCACTTTTCTTTTTGTAGCAATTAGCAATATAATGACCAGGGTTTTTATAGTAAAAACATTGGCTTTTTTTTAGTATTACTATTCTGCTAAGTTACTCATCATAATAAAATAATAAATAGTAAAAATAAGTATATCTAAAATAGTCAAATGAAATGACGCTCCCTATGTTAAATGAACTGACTTACCCTATGTCGATCAAAACGTCAAATGAAAATAATGGTTAAAAATTACCCTCTATATGACTTATGACTCACTAGCCTAAATTAAGTTTAATTCTGGTCAATTCGATGAGTCAAAAACTCACCCGGCCTAAAATATTGAGTTTTTGGCCTAAATTAAGTGAGTTACAATTTGATAAATTTAATTGGTTAAAAAAAAATACAAAATCTATAAAAGGATAAGCCATTCTCTTGAGTGCCTCAGAAATTTTCTCAACCCTGAATACAAAAATTCTTCGAACTAGTTATTTATATTTTCTTAAAAAAATAATTTTTTTTAAAAGAAAATAAGTAAATTTGATTATTTACTAACAAATTTACTAAAAATTCTTGAACGTATATGTTTTTGGAGAACACCCTGCATACGGCAACAATTTCCTTGAAATGGTATTATACTAATTTCAAAAACCTTTCTAAGTACACCTCTAGAGTAGATCCCGGACAATCTAGATATTAAATTTTATACAAAACAAATGAAAACTCATAGAGATATTTTATTTTTTGTGAAAATTAAACAGTTACATTTTTTTTTAATTTTCTCTTACAGAAAATTAATTCTGGAAGGTATTTGGTGAAATGAAACATACATGTATTAATAGCACTGATTCATGAGGTATTCAACTATTTGCAGTTAAAATTTCAGCTTGCTAGCATCAATATTGACGAAGTGATAAAAATTTTTCATAATTCTTTATAAATACGAAAATTGTGATGAAGAGCATAAAATTTTCTTGGGTTTTCTCATTTTTCTTGAGAACGTACTTAATAATGTATGCTCAAATTTTACACACCAGTTGGGACAATATATAGAATTTTTTCTGTAAAGTTTGGTGGGGTTTGGACGAATATTAAAGGAAATCTTGATTTTTTTCATTATGAAAATACTTATATTGTTTGCAGATTATTATTTAGAGATGTTTTGATATATTTTTTAATTGTATAGAAAATTTTTATTAATAAAATAATAAAAGTAGTTTTATAAAACTAGCATTATTTTTGCATTTTCTATAACTTCATTAGTAACTTTTAGTTGATTAACTTAGTAAGATTTTGCGTAAAACATATTTTTTGTTTTGATGAATTTTTTTTACTAAATACTTTTAATAGTACCTAGTAGATTTTTTATTATAATTTAAAATGTCTAAAAAAATAACATCTGACACTAGATTTAGAAAGTTTAATTTTACATTATATGAATATCTCGATACTTTTTATTTACTTGTTTGTAATATTTTTAATACAAAAACTTGTAAATTTGAAAAATTACAATTTCAGTTTGAAGTAAATTATAATTCAAAAGAACAAAAAAAAAATCATATTCAGGGATTTGCTAAAGTACATAAAGGAGGACAGTTACATCTTGGAAATTATAATTCTAATACAAAAAAAGGATCAGGAATTAAAGAAATTTTTAAAGCAAATTTTCATATTGATTATGCTAATGGAACTGATGAAGAATGTTTGGCATATATAGCTAAAGATTGGAATCGATGTTCTCTACATCATCAACCAATCAAAGGAAAATGTTGTAAATGTAATTTGTTTAATCGTTATAATTATTCAAATTGTAAGCTTTGTAATGAAGATTGTTGGCAATATTGAACTTTTGCATGTTGTACTGATATAGAAAATCCTAGACCATTTACATTTATATTTGATGAAACAAAATTTGAAAAAAAATAAAAAAAAGTGAAACAAAAGAATCTAATTCAAACAAGTCTAAACAAGACGATGATTATAGTGCTTATAATGAAGCTATCGAAGAGCTCAAAAAAGAAAAAGGAAAAAATCTAAATACAGTTTTTAGAAACTATTCTTCAAGATGTAAAAAGTAGTTTTATTCGCTACAAGGAATGAAAAATCTTGCTGAAGCTCTTCAAACTGAAGACTCAAATCCTTTACAAAATATTTTACATTATTGAGAGTTTTGTATCATATACATATACGAAGATAAAGATACAGGAAAAAGTGATTTTTGTACTGATTTATTTCCTGGAATATATGAAAAAGATGATATGAAACAATGGAAAAATTATAACAATGAAAACTTTAATTATAATCAGGATATTGCTATTTTATTAGATGATTTTATGGCAATTACTTAAGTTAGACAAATTTATTAAGATTAACTGATCGAAAACATTGTAAAATAGATGTGAAATACAGTAAAACAAATATTATTGCAATATATATTTGTATTACAGCCAATGAACCAATAGAAAATCTTTATACAAGGCTTAGAGATTATAATTCTTCAATTGATATTGATGCCTTCAAAAGGCATGTTTGCTTTATTATTAAACTTGAAGGAGAACCAATTGATCCATGTATTGAAATAGGTAATGTTATACGTATTTTTGAAAAGGAAATAAACAAGATTTCAATAATCGAATTTTTGATATTAAATTTAATAAAAATACAATGCTGGAACAAGTTAAAGCAGTTACAATAAATTTAGGTGTTAAAGGTGAAATATACTAAGATAAAAAAACTAGATATTATTATTGAAGACAAATTTGGGAAAATAAAATTAATAAATATTTGATAATAAAAGATCTTGATGATATTACTAATTGAGTGATAACAAATATTCCAAAATCTGAACCTGGTAAAAGAAAATTGATATTTTCTTCAGAAAATAATGATGCAAAAAAAATTAAATTATTACATAATTCTAAATTAGAATTAATTCAAAATACTAAAAAATTTCATACAACTGTTGAATCAGATAATGGAATTAAAACGGATTTTGATTCAGATTCTCAAATAGAATCATCAACTCAACAACAAAACAATTATAAGTACTCAGAAAATTTTAACAAATCAAAATCTGAATCAAAGTTATTAGATCTTTATTCAGATGATTTTGAAAATACCAAAAAACAAAAAAAAGGAAAATTCAGAGCTATTAATGAATTTAAAGTTAATATTATTGACAATACTCAAGCTATTATTTAGGTAAATCATCAAAAATTAAACAACAATAGTAAACATATTCATGAATCTGAAAAACATTTACTTAGTGAAAATGATTTATTTGAAGATAATATTCTTAATATTAGTGAAGATTCATTAGTTATTAAAAAAGCAAAAATTGA